GTAGCAAATATGAAGGGCTAACGCTCGAAACGTCAGCTTTTGTAATCATTACGGTGGCCAATTTACCATTTCAACATTGATGATGTACCTATAAAGAACCTGTCTACTAACAATTTTGTTCAAATTCAGCACCATTTTTTGCCAATCAAAATAAATAAGTTTCATTAGCTTTTAATGAGAAACAAAAAAATTTAAATCCACATGCCTTGTGGAATTACCCTGTACCACCTGACTCCACAGAGAAAAACAAGCTTGTTAAATTATAAGCTCTCAAGCCAGCACCTCATCCAAAGATTGCCTACCTAAGTTGTTTATTTTTATATTTGAATGAATTCTTCTTGTGAAAGGGAAGAAGTTCCAAAGACAACTACTTTGGAAAGGCTACAGAGTAACCATGCTAATTTTCTAAAGGAGACAATTTAAGAGACATTAAACTAAAACGTGTAAATTAGAACAATAGATGGACTGGGATGACAGGAAGCGAGCATGTGAATGTATGTGTATGATTGTGTTACATCTGAACATAAGACAGAATACAGTTCAGAACCTGAACCAGCCCCTAATTAGAAGCCACTTACACCAGAAAACATTATAGTAAAATCCACATTTAAGTCTGAGGAACAGGCATCAACTTCAGGTCTCTCCAAGGGCCACAAAATTATAATAATAATAATAGTTTATTGAAAAACCAATATTGCTGTCATTAGACTGAATTACACTGGTAATGCTATGAAATATCAAATGAAAAATTAAGAATTTCTAATTGAAGCCATAATGAAGGATTAAGAATTTCTAATTGAAGCCATAATGAAGGATTTTTTAAAATGATTGATGCGATAGCAGGGTTCAATAAAGAGTCTGGTATTTCTTAGTGGGTATCTTGTGTTAATGCTGAAAGCTGGCTTTTGCTCCCAAAATTATTCCCGTTACTAAAACTGTTTGTACTATTGATATACAAAAACAATGGCATGATCATGCCGTAGATCGGCGAAAGCTTGGAAAACTAAATTATCGTAGCATATGGACCTGGCCTCACTTGATTTCACATCTGACTTTTTAACACTATTCAGGGGTCGACACTAACATTTCAACTTACTAGCCAAGTGGCTAGTGACAACTTAGATGTTACAACAATTTCAGTTTGTTTACTAGCAAAACCGGCTAGGCTAGTGGAAATCGACAACCACTAGCCAAAACTCAATTTCTACTAGTTCGTGGCTAGTTGGCTACCGTTAGTGTCGTGCCCTGACTATGCTACTCAAGTACAACATCCAGCGCTTAATATACAGAAATCTTTCCATCGTCTCATGTCGGTCAAAGTTTAACATGACGAACGATAATAACAGTAGGATGGTCAATCCTCCACTATATACTCTCTGTTTAAAACCATTTCATTTCTTAAAGCTTAAAAACCGTCTACGTAGTTCTTGTCATATTTATAACTGAATGAAATGTCCGCTCACCTGTTTGAAACGAAAAGAACATGGCAAGCACAACCACACACATCGGTCGGATGCTTTGAATATTCCGAGCTGAAGTCATTCTCATTAGAGAAATGCAAGGAGCCGTGTTTAGATATAACTTGATGACAATTTTACCGTTTGAAAGATCGTACGTGCTTTATCGAGGCATAACGAAGAAAAGTCTCACTCAGCTGTGCATGACCGACATCTCACATCTGTATTTGGTTCGTCAGCGAGTTGTTTCGACCAGATTAATTTTTCAACTAAACAATTCAAACAAATAAATTCATATTTCCAGCTATTTTCAGGTTTACAAAGACACCATCGACGCAATACAAGTATGTCGACTCTGTCTCTAGTTAATCCAAGGGAAGGTACGTTTTTTATTGGGGGGGGTGGGCCGGGGTATTTTAGAAATTTTTTGCCAAAAAAGTCGTGGCCCTCCCACTTTCCAGATTGGATTAATGCATGACCCTTCATTAAACAAAAAGGATCTGACCCTCCCCCGACATCCTCCAAGATAAAACAACCGGAGGTGAAAATAACTGATCGGAAGTGTTGCTCGCATAACTGTGAGGCGTGAGTAGTCCAGTGGTCAGTGCGCTGGACTCTAG